CAGCTACAACCCCATCCCCCTTTGAATCTAGATTAAAGCTCTATGTATGAGCTCTACTAATTGTTGCCCTAGAACCCTTTTCCCTCTACAAAATAAGCTTTTCCCACATATCACCATCAGGCCTCATGACTTATAAAACCAGCCATGACTGAAGAACCCAAAGCCCTGCCTGTAGCACCAGTCTTGGAGCCAGGTATTTACAGACTGGATCCTTCTATTCCATCACATACCATTATCCGCAACTGGAAGGAGGGAAGAGAAAATAACTTGCACACCAGACTCTTTCAGTAACTGTTCCAAGGCCCTAAAGTCTTTCTTCATTCCCCTCAGACTACAGGATGCAGCTTCCTCCTCTCCCGCCTGGAAGACCAGTAGTGGGTAATAGTCTGATGACTGCACTAAGTCAGGGAGTGTCCTAGTGATATTCCTAATTTGGGCTCCAGGAAGACTCCAGACTTCCCGATGATGAGGGTAAACCTGACATATTGGACCCTCTGTTCCCTTTAGAAGCAAGTCTCCAACAACTGTAACTCTTCCCTTCTCCCTTGTGGAAGAGGTTGCTATATGGCTGGAAGGCCTATCTGACTGTGGTAAGACCTCTGGTGTAGGCTGCCTATCATCCACATCCACATTTGACTGGCTGTCTTCCAGCAGGGCCTCTTATCTATTTCTCAGAGGCACCCAGGGAAGTGAGGCAGGCAAGCAGGGTGCTCACTTTCTGTCACAGCCATGAACTTGCCTCCACTTACCTCCTTCATTTAGGCTTCTGTCTTGCCCCTGACGGGGGCAGAATACAGGGGCCCCTTTATCCTGGGTGGTATCTGGTGGGTGCTCCCATTTCTGTTGTAGGGAGAGCAGAGCCTGGTTCCACCAGTCTATCTCCATTTCAGCCTCCCTAATGCTCCTAAGCCTTTTTATTTCCTCTTGTAGCCTTTCAACCTCATCTTGCAGCTGTGCCACTGGGCTGAGCAGATCATCTACCTGCTCACACCGCACAGTCATACTCATGGCTGCCCCCCGCTGCCTGCAGCCTGTGACCTGGACACCTGCAAGTTTACCCGGGACCTCTGTCTGGGTCACCACATTTCTTCGGACGACGGGTTTTGCCCGGGTTGCCACCATAGTTGCCCACACCACCAACTGCTCAGGCTGCTGCGGCATGCCTAGTTACAACTAACTGAACTTACTGAGTTCACCTCTTGCCCTAGCAGAGCTCCGAGATCTTTCCAAGAGGGTGGCAACCACTAACAAGGCTCACAACTTTATGGTTGCAACCGTAGCTGGTCCTGTCCACACAGCCAACTGCTTAGACAACTTAAGATGCCCAGAAGACATGCCATGCCCCCTTTGCTTGACCTCACTCAGATGAAGTGCCCTTGGCTTCTCAAACTGTCAGCTTCAGTGCCCTTCCCGCGCAAACTACCATGCCACACTCTAGCTGACGTTCCACGCTCTGCCCGCTCTGGTCGCAGCGCTCCTGGTTGCTAGCGCTCCCCACGCTGCTTTTTGTAGGTGTTAGAGGGCGGCGTTGCTCTGGCAACGCCCAGGTCTTGCCTGCATCTTCCACCTTATCTTTGCTTCTTCACATTAAGCCTCAGGCTTGCATGTTTCCTTTGTTGGATTTGTCCTGAAATCTTCCTTCTGCAAGACTTGCACGGGCTGTAACTTCCATTAATGACATTCAGCCTTACTATCTGACCTGCACCTCCACTTTCTCCTTTTCAGGTGAGTTCCAGTCTGCAGTCTTGGTTATTGATTTCAGTAGTAATACAGGTGGTACCTCTCACTGCATATACTGTGAAGTGTGACACCTTCCCCTCACACAGGGACACATGTATGTAGGGTGTCAGCAGACTTATGAAGAGAAGTACTTTTATTCAGGGGCAAACAAAACTAGCATCCTCACTCTATCTTTCCCCTGCTCCTCATATGGGCACATAAATTTCTCAAAGGTCTTCTTCCTGAACAACCACAGGAGCAAATGCTGCCTCCCTCCCCTTTCCAGAGCCAGTAGCAGTGACAACAGATATAAATTCCCAACTTTCAGGGGAAGTTTGAGAAGCAGATAACAAAATGCAGCGTCACTGAGAGAGGAACACTACAGAAGAACATATGAAAGACTTTCCCAAAGGAAATACTTTGGTTAGAAGTAATTACACTTAAGCACACAAGCTGCAGGTCATTTTCATGTTCAGAGTTAGCAGTCGGGGAAATCCTCAGATCCTAACGGATGTGTAGTTCATGTCCTTCTCCCAGTGTGATATACCACTGGCTAATGCAGATGCACCTACTGAGACCAGCCTAAACCCCGGTGGGGACCACTGTCACAGGCATGATAAAATGAACTGAACGGTAGCATGAACAGCTCTTAAAACAAAGGTGACTTATGCAAACTGGCACACATCAAACTCATTATCTGTCAGCTAATGTAACATCTGTGTTTCTGAAGGACTGGATCCCCTTTAGAAACAAACTGGTTTGGTCAGATTATTTTGAGAGTGCTGTGAATTCTCCTTACTTAGCCCAGAGACGAATTCACGGAAGTTGATGAGCAAGTCTCCATTTTCATCAAGAAGCCTGAATAAGCGTGCAGCTAATACATCTGAATGAGTTCCACATGCCCAAGGAAAGAGGAGAGCAAACATCCCCTTGAACTGCTCAAAGTCAATACGGTACTGCTCCAGATAAGGCAGGCTGGGATCATGCCGGTCAATTGCATTGCTGTTTCCTCCCCAGTAGCAGCTAGTCAGATGTTCTGCCTGAACAGAAGGCAAATGCTGTGAGACTGTCATCACCTTTATAAACAACTCATTGCTAGCAGCAACAACAACAAAAAAATCCAAACAACTCATACACACACATTCTTAAAACAACACAAGACTAGCAGATTTACTCCCATCTACCTAGCCCTTGCACTTCTGCAAGGGGTTTCTCCTCTAACCAGCACAAAAACACATCCCTCTACATAAAAAGAAGATAAAGCAAAACAACTTCTGCCTCCCAGTCAGATGAAACATGAAATACCTGTTTTGAACATGGCAGTAAGCAGGCGTGGCTTGCATATATACACATGCTTGTTGTGCTAAGTCCCCCTTCAACCCCATCACACAGTCAAGTCAGAAAGGGGAATCTTGTGAAGTATCAGTGCATAGGAAAATAGCTGCTTATTTTTAATATTTTTGTTGAACTGTATAGTCCAAAAAATGCTGCATAAAGTCCTACTTTTTCAGTCTTATTGAAGTCAGCGAAAGCTCTGGAGCTGATTTTGGTGGAATTTAATTCAAAACGATTCAGAGGCTTAGAGAAAGATGTCCTGGCACTGCACAGTGATTAACTGGGGTGGGTTGTCTGACTCGGTCTCCCTGATTCCATGGAGGACTGAAAGAAGGCACTGCAGGATTTGTTAAGATTGTTAAGACCTGACATTACAGATAGGAAATTTAAAGGAAAGAAATTCTTCATAGTATACCAAAAAAAAAATCCCTGTTATAACAAAACAGAGGAAGAAAGTAGCTTGTTTTAAGGCATCGGGCATGAAGGTGAAGTTAAAGCATTTTAACCGCTCACCTTTAAATTTGTGGATCTAAAAGCATTGCTGTACAATAAACTTACAAAGATGCATCCCTTTGTGATACTAAATTTCCATGTAATACAGTCCACATGAAAGCATTTACAACAGCAACAATCAGCTGTTGTGATATGGAAGAATTAGCTGTCTGAGATAATAGAATAAAGGTATTTCTGTGCTAAATTCCAAAACTTGTGTCAGGTAGAGACACATATACGTAGGTTTCTAAAGACTGATCAAAAGCCTCTATCGATTCACTTTTTCATTGTAATAGTTTTCATCAGTATATTAGTTTTTTCCATGGACAAATCACTTAGTGAATTATTTATTTCCTGAGCTTTTAAAAACTGGTTGGGGGTTTTGTATATATTCAGTAATACAGCAGCTAATTCAAGTTTGTATTAAGATACCTGATAGTAATCAACTACAGACTCAACCTGGTCTTTACAAAAGACACAGTCCCATATAGAAAAAATAAATGTTTGCATTTCCTGCAGGCACATGACCTTATCTTCACTTAGCTTTACCTTGAAAAGAGCATACAGTTCCTCCAGTTCATCGATAGTAAAAGAAGTCTCTGTCACAATAGTTCGCACCTTTTGAAACATAACATTAACAGTTACGGATTTTAAATCCATGTCTCATTGAAAAGCTCAATTAAATTTCAGAAGCTGACTGACCTTAATCTTTGCAAAGAACATTACTTCCATACTTACCACATTGCGCTTTGTAGTATCTTCAAGGGTTTGGATAACTTTCAGCCTTTGTTTGAATCTCATTTGTTCAATTAAATCTGCTCGAATACTTCCAAATTTCTTAAAAGAGAAAAAGAAGTATAGGATAGTCTCTGTATTGGTATCTGGAATACTTAGCTTGCCTTTAATATAATTGAAAAATTAATTTAATTATGTGATATACCACAAATGGTATATTTTAAAAAGTGCTGTTAAGGCATTTTTCTAACACATGAAAAAGTTAGGAAGACTTTAGGAATATCTCACTAGATTTTATTGTTCACAGTAACTTCTTTTCATTTAGTTTGAAAGGTCTTTATTAAGCTACAAATCCTCACATTTGAAACCATAACCTCAGTAGTTAAGAAATTTCTTGCTTGGCAAATCTCTATGAATGTATTGTTCCATAACTCCTTCTGCAGGGTTTTATTTCAGCTTGTCCTGGAATCTCTCTTAATTGCTACAGAGAGAGAAGATATTTAGACTAACTGGTTCTCTAACAGCTGAGACAGTAGAGTAGTCCTTACATTCACAAGAATGTGAAACCAAGCCTCAAGAATGCAACTTCCATTAGGAACAAGATTCTCTAAAGTGCCTAAATCTTATTTTCATAAGTTTTTTTGACAACGCACTTAGTCTCAGCAAGCTCCTGTATGTACTCAGAAGCACCCTAGGGGAAAGCCACTAGGAATAACACTCCATGTTTTCATATGTAGAGGAATGCCTAATCCCCAAGATTCATTTTTGCAAACTGCAAGTGGAAGTTTTTTTGCCATCAAAACACTTGTAACATACCTAGAAACGTACAGATGACCAGTAGGAGCAATAATGCCAGACATCAAGTATGCCACATGTTAAATTAAAAGGTGGTGGCAAGATATGCTTTCATACAGGATGGATTTACATTTCCAGTGCAAGCGCATCTACATAAGCAGGTCATAATTTGCTAGAACATTCTTATGCGATCAAATTAACACTAAACCTGTGTTTATCTGTAAAGCTGCGCACCTTTATCACGTACCTCAGGAGTAAAAAACATGTTTCGTGTATTTGGAGCGTTTTGCAAATAAGGAACTCTTTTGAAAAAATGGAATCTAGATAACCATCCATGAATATCAAGCACCACAGAGGTCACAAAACCTTGAAAAGAGAGGTCTTTTGTGGCTCTGAGGCCACATCTGTTCCAGTAATCAGGGCTTATTCTCTGGTCCAGAGGCCAAATGAGATGGTCTGTTCACAGCCCTACAACTAAAACTCACATAGCCTACAGAAAAGTAAGGCTGCGTGCAGCTGCCGTCTGGGAATGCTCCCTTGACTGTGTTAACTTTTAAAATCGTACAAGGAATTGTTGGAAGTGTGTCACTTGTTCTAGGTCAAAACCGTACCAAACCTTTCAACAGCAGAGACTTTTGAGTGTCAGCTGTTTAGTTAAAATGGCCAAGATCCAGATACTACTATGGATGCAGCTTAAGTGTTTAAGGCCTATTTTTTTTCCTAAATTAACTAACACACAAATCAAAGGTGTTAAGCATGTAATAGTTCTGAATATCTGAGTCTACACTCCATTGACAACTACTGAGCTATGCAGAGGCTTTTAAAGCTGTAGTGATGATGCATTATTTCAGTCACTTTTATTGTAATTATTATAACACCAGGCTCTATGGCTTCTGAATTAATTGCAAAAATGAATGAAAAGAGATTTCTTAATTAAAAGTATTTTCAGTAAATGAAAAAAATTACTGGCAGGGTAAAATGTACTTGTTATGTATATCCTCTTATTTCAAGAATGTTTCTTTTAAAAGTAGAAAGTCAGTTCAATATCAGAGAAAGGGGTGCCAATCAATCACCAAAAAATTTCTCTGCATCACTTCAGCTTTCACTGGAGACTTCTCATATATGCATCTAACATGATTACCTAAGAGCTGGACAGGATCAGAGCATGATGGAAAGTAGCTCTTCATAGAACAGCCCAAATATTGTGCTTTTGCCAGCGCTACGCCTTCACCAAGTTCTCACACCCATCACACTCCCATGACAAATATCATAGGACAGTCTGCAAGAGACAAGGTTCTCCCCTCCTTGGGGGTGGTATGGGTGAGTTTGAGGGAGCCAAGAAAACGCATTTTTTTCAGCTGGAAGTCTTCCTATTTTTTCCAAAACAATAAATGTCTAGAAGATTAAGGATAGATTGTTACCCAACAAGTATCTTTAACAGCTTAAATTCTAAAAACAGCAAAGGTACACTCACTTAGTATTTCGCTCTTTGTAGCAGCAACAAAGCTAAATGAGTTCCCAGCCTCGACTGCACAGAACTAATTCAGGAACGTAACAGTCATTGAGTAGCAGATGCCTTAAAGTTTTTTTTATCTTGACAGTTTACTATTGAATTGTTAGGAGTTTTTTTAATAATTAAATCAACCAACAGCAATAACTCTCCTGAAACTAATTCTCTTTTTGCAACCAACTCCTGCTTTCCTCATAGTTCTTCAATCCCCATGCTATTTGTTTTGCCTAATTACACTGGAGTACAGCTGGTTATTTATCTAGAAGGGGCTACAAGGTTCTGTGCCGCATAAATCCCAAAAAGACAACTCTGGGTGGAGTCAGGTTATTCATCTAAAAGCAGTTAAGGCAATGCAAGCTGCCTTCGTGATGAGGAAATCAGAAAATTACAATGGGAACAGAATTTCACATAAACATCCTTCTCCCCGTCCTAACATTGTGTGAAGGAGAACTGCTATACATCCAACTTGATTCAGTTTGCCTTTCAGTGTAGAATACACTGAGCACTACCTACTTCCTCATTAAACAGGTATCATGTTATTAAAGCAAGGAGGTTTTAGGGACATAGGAAGTCATGTTGCTAAGTATGAACCTACATCCTGAACTAAAATCACTAATTTACCCTCCATGTCAATGGAAGAAAAAAAGGAAATTAAGGAGAATAAGTCTTTAAAGTTATTCTTTAGCTTTTATTAAAAAAATCAATACATCAGTGTAATCATCAGGGCTATTTTAACTGATGGCTTATTTTTAAAATTTAAGGACAATAAAACTGGTTTGCAAATTTTAGCTCCTTTCACTTGAAATTTTTTTAGCTTTGGTGATAATACAAAAGCTAGTGGCCCACAGTTATAATCAGCACCTGCTGAGAAAAAAAAAAGGTAGAAGAAACAGATTTCCACCGATAATAGGAAACTCTTCTGAAATCATACAGATTTCACTAATATTCCAGTTTGGAAAAGCATGAAAAACTTTTAATTCAAAAAAGGTTCTCATCTAAGTTCAGTCTTAGGTTTGTAAAACACTTTTTGGTTGTGGGCTGTTCTCCTTTAACGCCGCAGGTTTCTATACAAAACAGTTCTAACTAAAAGTTTTGGTTAAAAGAAAGACTAACTGCTCTCCCCTGCCCCATTCCAGGCTTCTGAGATGAGTCAGGATTTCTTTTATGTTCTTTCGGTTTCAAGCAAAGCCAAACTATAGAATATCAAATTCCTCTGTAAAGCAGAACTAGTGGGGGTTGGCAAGCTCCTGTTAAGAAATCCTATCCTACCTCATAGGAAGACCTGATTAATCTGAAGATATCCACCTCAGGATAAGGCTCTACATCATCACTGAGCAGTGAGTGAAGATGAGGGATGGGTGGAAGAGTGCTGTCCTTATTTGTTACGCTGTCCAAATATCTGGTGGGGGGGAAGAAAAAAAAAAAAAGACATGAGAAACCCAAGATTCATTTGAACCCGCTCACTTCTGAGTGTTAACAGAATAAGAGCTACATAGAGATTATTAAATGTAAAAATGATCAAATCACTCTACTAATAGACTACATGATTTCTGACATCAGTAATTTGACAAATCCTAACACTGCTTTTTCTCAAAGAGAGCTAAGGTAACCCTGCTAATTCATTATCCTTACCAAGAAATAGCTCAAACATAGCTAGCCACAAACAAGTGGCTTAATGAACAGGTCTGTTGCTTCTGGCTGTTTAAATATGCTAAGGGAATTATGACACCATGGGAACAAGGGTCAGTGTGCTTCAGTCTACATACCTCCCTGTCCTACTACTGCCCAGCCTCGCTGCAAGGGGCTTTAAGGGCTTGTTCCTCCCACCGGTGCAGCTGCTGTGGATCATCTGTCTTCTACCCTGCAGCTGCAGAACACTTAAGTCCTCAGCAAGCACTGGGGCTTACTTCAGAGAAAACACAACCACAGTCGTCTTTAATCCCAAAGAAATCAGAAACAGGCTTCAGTTAAGGCTATACTAATGAAACTTACTAGGAAAAAGAAATCCAAAGTTTCAGCAGCATCTTGAAAACTAAACACTACTACCAAACACAAGGAAATCAGAGGTTACACTCAGCAGTGTTCGTTTATATGAAATGACTCAATCCAGTCTATTTATCAGGCTCCCATCTCACTGAAATCTGTTCATTCAAGAGCCCACCTAATTCTTCTGAGTTCTGCTTAGTCTGTTCCCAAAACAATTTCCCTTGAGGGCAAGGCTTTTTCTTAGCAGCATTTAAAAGGTGGCAGGAAAAAGATGAAGTAACAAAACCCATGCAGTCAACCAAAATAACAAACCAAAATAAGTTTCTCTAACCAGGTTTGGGAAGTTAATTTGAATGTCTTGAAAGGAGAATTTGCATCTTGTTGGTCACTTAACTTTATTTTAGGATAATATAAAAAGTACCTTATATAGGTGAAAGGGGACTATAAGCATTTAAAGATTTACATATACTGTATTGGCTTAAATTGAGCATTTCAACACAAGAAAACCACAAATCAGAAAAGCAAGCAAAAAGGCAAATAAAATGAAGAGAATTTATTTTCATTAATAAATACCTTCCCAAGACTGTCATTGCTTCTCCATCATCTTTACAGTTAAGCAGCTTGTCTACATTAGCATCGAGGACTGCGAGCGCTAACTGAAATATCACTTTTATTCCTTCACAGAAGAAACAATCCACAACCACCACTGCACTTTCAAATGGCATTACGCTAAGGAAAAGAGTGAGGAACCACGACAGGGAAATGGTGGATATCACACCCAAGTCCTGCATGCAGTCATAAAGCTGTGGAACATAGTCACGAGCCAACTCTTCAAAGACACCCTGATCCACCAATGCTCCTGTTGAAAATAAATAAAGTTGGATGTGCATTAATTTGGGAGCAACTGACCACATCACCATTTAGGGGAGAAAAATACACATACATATATTCTATATATATAAATACGAAACAAGAATATTCTACATGATGCTTATACACATGTTCTCACTTTCAAACAAATAACGGATTCTATTCCACTACTGAGCTGTACACACCACATGAACTCTAATTAAAGCTTTTAGTTTAATTATACATTTCATAAGAGCTAACCAAGGGTCAAATTGGTTTAGCAGCTAAAGAAGTTACATGACGGCTTAGTACTTACCATAACTAACTAGAATAAGGCTTCTCAGCATCACTTATCAGAGGAGGCCAGAGTAACTGCGAGGGTTTGGATTTATTTCAAGAGAACCCTGTGTTATACATATCTGTGCCATAACATCAGTGTCTTAAGCAGGCCAGGAAGAATAATTTCTAAGGCTGAATGAGTATCTCAAGCATTTGTGAGCTACAGTAGAGACAGTGATAAACTGAAGAGCCATTCACTTCCACATACACAAGGAAACTGTCATCTGACAACAATAGCTTTCAGATACTGATGCCCTTTCAAATCAGAGGTAAACAGGTACAAAGACTTCTGCTGCAAATTGCCAAAGCTCCTGTTTCCACCTTACCTTAAACAGAGAACTGGATCATCTAAAATTCAAATTTCAGCCTCCCATCTCTTTTTCATTCACTTTGTTTAAGCTCACTTCAGAATGCCATCTAATCCTAAGTAAGCAAAGCACTATTATCTATCACAGTATCTGTTTAGGGAATGGCTTCGACGCCCCTGAGCAAGCTGTCTTGCCACTAGCATTCACAGTTCTATCTATGCCACGTGTACATTTACACACGCTTGTTTCAGCACAAACAAGACCAATTAATTTGTTCATTTTTGTACTGTCATTTTAGAAAATTTCCCCGTAACATACCAACAACTCTTGTGTTGTAGTAGTCAGGTAACATACGTTCACACAGAGCTACCAGCAGCCAGAAAGCTTCCTCCTCTTTTGCATAAAGGAGGAGTACTGAAGTGACAATATTCATAGCCTGAAAGAAAGAGAATATAAATTGCTAGACTCATTTATTCAGTATCTAGCACAGTAACTGGGCAGATAAATGGCTAGGAAATTAGATACATCTCCCCCTGCAGATCCCAAACTATTCAAGTATTTTCTTGTAAAAACAGCAGGCAGTGTTTTCCCAATGCCCCAAAGAAGGCTTAAGAAAGCCTCAAACAAACCATAAAAAGTTGTTAGGGGTTTTTGTTTGGTTTTGGTGTTTTTTGTTTGTTGTTTTTTTTTTTTTTTAAGAAAAAATAAATCAAGGTTTCTTTTTATAATCAAGAGCCAACTCAGGTCTGCAAGCATCCAGATACACTGCCACTGATATTCTGCCAACAGGTGCTCTTGGGGAATCTATGTCTGATACAGATAAAATGCATCCTAGAGCACCAGTGACGGCCCCTGCTGTACCACCCACTCCTCATAGAGGCAGTCTGCACTCCCTATGCTTTCTGCTCCTATGAAAGGGTGAAGACACAGCATTTGTGAGCTGAGGCAAGTGCCTGTAACAGTGTCAGTCACTAACAACCAGAGCATAGTGCAGCAAGTGTCTTTCTGTTGCTCATCTTCCATGTTTGACTGTGTACCTGACAGTTCTTTATTGCCTGTATTAAATAATTTGTGATGGTATCTGTTGGAATTGTTTGCACTTTCACTCACTCATGTTGTATCTAGGAGTCTTAACAGTCAGACATTAAGCAGGCTTCTTAATACTCATGAATTCAAGTTTCCTTTTTGCAAAAATAGGTAGGAAGGCAAAAAAAATGGCCCAAGTGATAAGTCAAAGTTACATAACAAGAAAGAATGATTTGGGACCAGAACCAAACTGACCTGAATCACAGGCATAAGAACTCCAAAACCATGTGCTGGTCAGCATTAACTCTACCGACACATGGTTGTGATGCACAGTGATAAGACATCTTCTAGGGTGCTTTATTTTTGTTGTTTTGTTGGGGTTTTTTTGTTGGGTTTTTTTTGTGTGTTTTTGTTTTGGTTTTTGTTTTTAGTTTTGTTTTGAATGATTGAACAGCATAATTTAAAAAAGTAAAGGAAGCTCTGGAGGGTTATTTCAACTAATACATTAAACACGTAGGTAAAAATTTAAAGCTGAACAATTATAAGTTTGGTATTTTTTTTCCTGCTTAAAAGAAAACAACCTTTCTTCAGGGTCCATTTGTCATTTTCTGTAGGTGCAATTCAGGACAGCTATCATCCTCTGTCCAGTCTCTAGATTTATGGGCAGAAAATATGCTTACAGAAAACTACGCACATCTCAGCATGCGCTGCTAATACTTCTGTTAGAGTAGGTCCTCACGTCAAATCCCTCTGACCTCAGCATTACTGTAATTCTGCAGCACTGAGGCTTTACCTCACAGTATTATACTGTACCAATGTACCTTACACGGCCAAATACTCGTGTATGCGACTGAAGAAATAGGAGTATAAGGAAAGAACTGGAATTCCAGAAACTGAAGGAGTGCCAAGGTATTTCAATTACCTGACAATATCCTATGTTTGGATTTCTAAAAGCATAAGCTGTCAAGACTCTCCTTAGAGCAGCAATACCCATCTCATTCTGGAACGCAGGGTGCTCTGGAAGGGAGCGGTGCAGATCCCTCTCTATCTCTTCTGTAGCAAGATTGTACTTCCCCATTGATTTCTCCACTAGGTCCTCGTAATAGCCAGGATGAGTGGCCATTTCGTTAATGGCTCCTGGGAGCAGGAGAACAGTATTAAAACCAGAAGAACAAAGCAAGGGTTAGCAAATACAGTGTCCCAACAGGATGATCTTCTGCTACCCTTTCACCTTGAACGTCACCAACAAGAACTCTGAAAGCAAACATGCAATCTTATTTTTGTAAAAGTGATTATAAAAAAAAAAAAAGGAATGTGCTTAGGTGATTGAGGCATCACCCCTTCTTGTCTTCTCTAGATGCATTCTATAATCATGTTAAAAAAAAAGGCAAGAAGATAAAGCTTCTCTCTCAGCCAGAATGAAACAGAAGGCATGAAGAACAAACCAGCTGTGCAGTCACAGCTCTTTCTGGAGCTAGCTGGCTGTGGGTTTAACTCCAAACAGGCCTCTGAGAAAGTTACTTGCCCTGAGGAGGGAGCAGACTAATGCTTGGTTGCAGAAAGTATGATACCTCAGCCAAAAGCAAGAGACAGGAACTCCTGAGCTCTATTCCTGCTTCTGAAAATGACACTCTCCTCTTGGGCAGGGCACTTAGCCTGTCTTAGGGACACTATCGCATGCTCACAGAGTTGCTATGAGATTTCACTGCCAACTTTAAAACTTCTCTGGAAATGAAAATCTCAGCAGCAAAGGAAATCAAGTGTCAGTAGCACAAAGTAATGTGCATGGAAAATACCAATTATACATCCACCATGAAAACTGGTCCAAACTAGCTATTAATCAGACACAGGACAGATCT